ATATATATATATATATATATATATATACCGTTTTCTTAACAAAATGATTAAACTAAGCTTTCAGCAAATTTAAGGATTTAAAAAGTCCATAATTCTCTGAAATTACTCCAGATATGCTTCCCATATTTTACTCTTAACTGCTTATTTTCTTATTGAACTGGTAAAATAAACCATTATAGTCAGTGAAGCATTAACTAATACGAATTCAAAATTACATATTTAGGCTTAAGTAGTATTTTAATATTTATTTGTTTGGAATTAAGCACAAAGCGACACAATGTGCTATTTGTGCTCTGCCCACTACGGGTATCAAAACCTGGTTTCTAGCGTCGTAAGTCCGGAGACATACTGGGGGGGGGGCGATTTTAATGTAAAGAAGAAGAAATGATCGTGATAACCTTTATGTCATTGTTTCATATCTCCATTTAAATTTTGTTTTTGTCAGTTTCTGTTTTTTTGCATAAAGAAATAAAATAACTAACGATTTTAAGCTTATATTTTTTAATGTGTTCAAAATGTAATTGGTCATGCACTTAAAATTGTGAAACTTAAAAAAACAACATAAAGTCCCTTTACTATTTTATTTGAAAAATAAATTAAAGGTATTTATATCATAACTGTGTGATATTACTACATTAGTGCATATTATGATAAACTCAGATACTTTAGTGTCAAATACCAAGGAATTCTGCATAGCTTAAAAACTTACACGTATTTCCTAATCTATATTTAGACAGAGTTGTCCCATATATTAAAAAATAAAAAGTGAGAAAGGTTGTTAGATGCATGGTATCGTTTCCATGGTGATTTAATCTGCTTAGAGATATTGTGAGTACTATGGTAAAAACATTTTGGACGACGAGCTGGATAATGATTGTAGTTGTAACCAAGTTAGAAAAAAACGGCCTTTACTGTCCATGTAATGATAACAACTTTTTATTTTAGTCAGACTAGTAGTACATTTTCAGTTGTAATCATTGAAACAACTTACTTTGCCTCCGTTTCATCTTTGTTATACAGAAACGTCGTAGTTATTTCAACAGTCAGTCTTGAAATTCATCGTCGTTAATAGCATTTGCAACAATTTTACTAAGAAAATAGTTATCTTTGAAAACATGTGTAAACTAAGCAAGTATAAAACGTTTAGGAGTTACAAAAAACTGGTTGTTGTACGTGAACAAAGTTAGCCTGTATTATCTAGAATTGTTTACATCAACACCCCTGGTTTTAATTTTCAGATCAAAGAGTTTTGGTTTCAGCTCTCCTGGCCAGATGTTTTCTCTTCTTATCCGTTTATCATAAAAATCCTTGAGGTAAGTTTCAAATGAATTATTTGGAGTTTAAATATCTTTCATGTTATCTTTTAATTCAAACAAGCATTATACTATGTTGTCTGTTAACATCAAGCTTGGAGCGCAATATTTCGAAAAAGGAGAAAAACAATATAAAACGTAGGATGTAATTGAAAGTAAGTAGAAAAAAATACTCTTCAGCAAAACATAGGTTTAGAATAAAAATAAAAATGCATTAGAACATTTGAATATTCTGCACTAGGCTGCATAACCTATGTGTATAATTAAAATTAACATATTTGAAAATTCTATACTAGGCTTACCTACTTTTAAGACACACAGGCGAAAGTTTATAGAACTACGCTAGTTGTAAATAATCTCCGGATTATTTTAGAATATTAGAAAACTTTGTAGATTGAAATTTATTCAAGAACTACGCTACTGATAGTTGATAAATTTACTTTCGAGCAATGTTCGCTATTATCAACACAGCTACAGATTGATGACAGAGACCGTCAACCAATAAGATCTTTAAATGGCTTTAGATGTAGTTGTTAGATATATACATACGTATATATTTTTTCTGCCCGAAAGTTGAATAACATCAAACGTTAATTCGGAATGAAAGAATGTAAAAGTTGTATTTCTCAAAATATGTTGTTTCAAGATATTGTTTAAAATTCCTTATATTCGATCATGACTATCTGCTTCAGCCATTAATTAACAACCGGCTGTTTTTCACGCCCATTTCCTAAACATAACAAGTCAACAATAACAAAAAAAACAAAAACAAACAAACGAGGGCTTGAAAATAAAGAAAGGAAATTCGAAAGACCTAATAGAACAAAAATAATTAATTTGAATGTATATATATATATACATATATACATATGTACAGTATAAATCAGTCATTAATTTCAGTACATGCTGTTTCCGAAACTGTAAAATTGTATATATATATTTTTTTCATAAATACATATTACATCTGTCAAAACTAATAGATTTTACTCGTATATTTAAGTTTGAAATTACCTTCCTACGCATTTAGTAATATTATATTTATCGCTAAAATATAACTGGTGATCCAGTAGGTCACCACAAATATCTCTAACGTAAGGCATTTGTTTAATATCATAACTTGATACAAATCGTCTTATTGGCCCAAATATTGCTAAATAACAAAGCATTTCAGATAAGTTAGAAAAAAAAAAAACATTTGATACGTATAAACCATACGTATAAGCAATTGTTATGTTTTCAGCACACCTGTTAACTAATGTTTTAAGCCTAATGAAAAGAGTTCAAACACTATTATTTTCGCCTAATATAAATGATAATAATGCTATTGTTGTATAAATTACTTTATTTCGTCCGAAATACAAATTATAAAATAAGTTGTCATTTCTCTTTTAATAAGTTAACTGAATTTTGTTGAAACGAACTAATTATCCCAATAAAACCATGGTTTCCTTGTTTTTTAAAAATCCCAGCACATAGAAAATACTGGTGGGTTATTGTTTAGTGGCTTAAAAAATACTTACTTAATTACTCAGGTAATCTGCAGTGGAGCAACATTTTATGCTAATCTATGCTACCAGAATGTGGCAGATTACAGTGAAGACATCAAAGAACAGGTAATGATATAAGTATAGAGTATTTCTAATAAAACTTATATATGGTAACACCATTGGTACGATGATAATCTGGTGTTCAATAAATATTTTTATATGTAGACTACGTTTTCCACAACTGAATCATAGTGCAACACATCAAAAGTTTTACGTCTTTTTAAAGTAGGATGTTTCGTAACATTCTGAATTTTATTTCATCAAGAATGTAACTTAGAAACTCAGAAATAAACTCGATATGCACTACTTCTTGCTCAGGAAATTCATCCAGAAAATAACTGACAGGATATATATACATATTGCACAGAATGAATTAATAACACCAGTATTAAAATAGTAATGTAACTTTAACATGCTGTTAAAAGAGAATAAATTTAGTTTTCAATAAAGTTAATGATGGTAATTAGAAACGGCATAAAATGTTTATTATATCTTTTATAAGGACGCAAGATGTTATATTGAATTTTCTTCAGGAAGTTATAGGTAAGGTTAGATTAAAGAACTTTTGTGAATCAATTATGCAAACAAATCATCACATTATTATGTTTAAGGTTGATTGATTTGTCTTTGACTTACTTTGCATTCGCCAGTGCTGTAATTATACGTTTATGGGTTACATCCATAGCAAAAGCTTCTTAGCCTGGATTAAGCTATAATATTCTATTATGAACTAAAGTTCTTTTTTGATTAATAATTAATTACACAAACATAATTTTTGTTTTATGGAATTATTTAGTTCATTAAGTAAGCCAAGTATTCGGATGTTATTGGGCTAGTCTTGAAAGTTTCTTTAAAATTTTATGGTTTTATTGAGTTTCGTTTCGAAAAACCTGTAGAAACAATAAACCCTAGTGGACGTCTTTGGACAGTGAAACGTCTACGGACTTACAACGATAAAAGCTGGGGTTCGATTCCTCGCGGAGGACACAGCAGATAACAAAATGTGACTTTGCTCTAAAACAGAAAAGGAAGTCTTTGTTTTGTATTCTTCATTCCATTCTTGGGATTATTCCTGTGGTGAAAGAAATAGTAGATGAGTTATAGTTTTACTTATTCATCCGCTCTTCATCCATGGTTACATCATCTCTCTTCTACTGATAAAACTATTGACTCTTTGATAAATCTTTTTATCTACAGAGCGTTTAAAAGAAACCATGTGAATTTGATCGTCGTATTTCTTTTCCAAGCCAAAGTCTCTGCTTGTTTCTTTATTTGTAGTATGTATTGGAAAGTACTGCCTTTTTTTACGATGGTTCTTAGGTTTCTTATTTTTATTTGATAAAATAAGTTACTTTCTTGATAGTTTTTTATATTCTAGACAACCTTAGATTTACTGTCTTTCAACGTTGAGTTTTATGTTGGATTCTAAAAAATACCAAGATTCAATGGTCTCCCCTTTATGTGACAAACTAAAACCGCTACTTGTTTACTTTTGACCTGATTGAAATGTTTTGCTGTTGTTGTTGTTTTAACAAAAGACTGATTACAGGAGTTTTGAAAAGTTTGTGCAGAGTTCACCGTTTGTCATGATGAAACACAATTTGCCTCACGTATCTTCTCAGTCAACTTAGAATTTTGTCATATTTTAGACAGCCATCCATTTCTAGCATGTTGTTTAAATAATTTTCTTCCTATAAGCTTTGGCAATATTTAGAATAAGGTTAATTAACATGAATTACTCTGCTAAAGTAATGTTAGGATTCTATAAATGATCAATGATTTTAATGATTGGTTTCATACAAATTGAAAAATTGAACAAAACCAATCGCTAATCGTATAATTTGTAATGAATGATTGTAATGCATTGTTTTTACATCTATATAAATGATAACATATGCGGCTCCTTGCGTTTAAAATAAGCTTAAAACATTATAGAAATAAAATAAAACTGTTTAACTTGTATTGTTGAAGTTTAACATTATAGAAATAAAATAAAATTGTTTAACTTGTATTGTTGAAGTTTAACATTATAGAAATAAAATAAAACTGTTTAACTTGTATTGTTGAAGTTTAACATTATAGAAATAAAATAAAACTGTTTAACTTGTATTGTTGAAGTTTAACTTAATAAAAACAAAAATAAAGGGAAAGGAAGAAGTTTGATACTATATCGTTATGTACTTGAAACGATTTTTATAAGAATATTGAATGACGGTTTTCTTGTGTAATTTATTTTCATTTGCAGCTTTGTATAGCGATCAACAACATAGAGCACGTGAGAACAGCTCTTAAACCTTTGTTTGACGATCTTGGAATAGAAAAAATATTGAACACTATAGCAGAAAGAGAGGGAGAAAAAACAGTCAGTCAGTGTCGCACTGCTGTGAACAACTTACTTCATAATGCTGAGGAAGACATCTTATCCAAGATACAAAACATCGCTAATTCTGTAGCTGAGAAGGTATTTATCACACCAATGTTCAACAATTAATAAATCGACCGATTAACATGAATTATTCAACATCGCTAATCTGTAGCTGATAATGTATTTATCTCACTAATGTTCAACAATTAATAAATCGACCGATTAACTTGAATTACTCAACATCGCTAATTCTGTAGCTGAGAAGGTATTTATTTCACTAATGTTCAACAATTGATAAATCGACCGATCAACTTGAATTACTCAAAATGAGAAGGAATTTGAAAATAACAGTCCGTTGCGTTGTATCACCTATAATCATTTCTACAGCAGAAAATGACTTGAACTATATAGACAATATTTTGCACGTTTGTTTGCCATTCATTGTATAATAATGTTTAACCATATGATGATTATTGTAAAAATATATTAATTATCGTGTTCTTCCCAAGTAAGCTATGGGTAAAATATTTCTTAGCAATTTCTAGCATATACGACTTTAAATTAAACTATCCTGACTAAACAGTTACTGGTATTTTCTTATATTTTCATGCTTATAGTTTTCGGCTAAACTTGCCAATAATTCCATTCCAATTATGCCGTAAAGCCCGCAAAAGCACCTTTAGGCTATATCTTCATTTAATCATAAAAAGCTTAGTGTTTGGCTTTTCTTTGCATATAGACACTTGATACATTAAGAATGATTGAAATAATCATTTGATTAATAATTAATATATATTTGTTACTTTATAGATTTAATAGACGTGTGTTGTTACTTTATTAAAACCAGCTGCTGTTATAAGTTTCCTTGTTTATGAGCTCGTTGTTGTCCTAATTTAGGATCTTCTTTTTAGTAAGTTCTTTAAAATGTTAAAAAGAGAGAGAGAGAGAAAGAGGCCCGGCGAGGATTTTTGCCCCGTGTTCCGTGCTGGCTCTCGACGCCCCTCCCATCCTATTATTTTCCTACTGCACTGCCATAATTTGTTCCGTGATTCTCTGATTAAGAGGACGTTTTTAGACAAAGTTATACTTTTACTTATCTTTTCAATAGCTTAACAACTAGAGTAATCTTTCCTAATCAAGCTGTAATTTCATGCTTCTCGACACTTCCATGATTGTCATAACTTTTCGCGGGTCATGATCAGCAATAGTCCCGATATTTTCATAATTTACATATTTTCTGAACCAACTCCACATATGAACACACGCCCTTTTACAACGATGTTGTCGTCGATTTTATTTTTCACATCTCCCTAGCTGACATAACTCTTTCAACTAACCTGTTTATGAAATGTGTTCACTCCTACGTTGTTAAAATAGTGTTCCAGTTAACCTATTAATGACGTACGCTAATAATTTGAGAGTTAACATACATTTGCCGATTCTTTTCACATCTTTATAGCTAACACAAGTCTTCCAACTAACCTGTTTGTGAAATGTGTTCACACCTGCGTAGTTAACACAAGTCTTCTGATTAATCTATTAATGAAGTGTGCTCATACTTCGAGAGTTAACATACATTTGCCGATGTAAGTGTGCTTAATTCATTAATCACCACACTTACAAGATTAATATAACTTAACCAACCAAAGTGACACCTATGCATTGTTATATATTTCCAGTTGTAATCAACTTCTGATCAAAGTAAGCTACCTACATAGATCAGAACTAATAATTAACCTCGAAAGTAGCATAGCTAATTTAATACATCATTCTTAGTTATAATGATAATGATTTGAATAGACTAACATTTTAAATATCGTCGATATGCGCCATATTATCATTTATAAATTATTCCAGTATATGCCTTCATTATTATTCATCACATATATACTCAGGTCTAGCATGGGCTGGTAGTTAAGGCACTAGACTCGCAACCTGTAGGTCGCGGGTTCCAATCCAACAACCCAACATGCTCTACTTTTCAACCGTGGGGAAGTTATAGTGTGGTGTTTAATCCCACTATTCGTTGATAAAGAGTAGCCCAAGAGTTACTGTTGGGTGATGTTGACTAGTTGCCTTCCCTCTAGTGCATCACTTGACCATTAGGGACGGCGAGTCCTTGAAAAGTTTTACTCAAAATCGAACAAAGCAACAAACATATTCCCCAATGCATGCTTAAACTACTCTCATTAATACATACTGCAGGTCTACTGTCCTATTGTCATTGCACTCTTTACAGACTAAACCGTTTTTTCTTACGAAATATGCTTGTTATTATGTCGTTATCTGCTCATTATCATAATAGCTACGATGATCTTTGAGCTCTAAACAAATAGCCCCAAAAATTGCTTAAATTATAACATTCGTGTTTGAAGCACTTTTCTTCACTAAACTGTAAAACTTGAATAGAAATATCATATTCAGTGCTTAATGTTATTCACAATAAAATGAACTTTTTAACGAGTAATGAAAATATATCTTATGCAGTAATTTCGTTATGTATCGGTACGTATCGTCGATTCACGAAGCCAACATTCTTTGAATGTGTGCGTTTTATAGTATAATCTTCTAATTTCTTGAAGGTAAGGTTTTCTCTGTTAATGCTGATCTTATGCAAAAACAAAACAAACAAACAAAAACGCAACAGCAACTTAAAATTACATTTATTAAAACTGAGCCGATAACACACTGGTTGTGCGTGATACGAATACATAATACATACAGTTATCGAAATTGAATAGATCTGGAACGCTCCATACAACATTATATGAATGAATTTTTTATATGAATTTATTCAAACATAAGGAATGATCTAATTTACTTATAAATTGTATTTTGAGTTCCTTCTAAGCTTAAACAACAATACTTCGATCTGACTTTTTTTTTAGAAATACTTGTAATAGTAGATATTTTTGTGTAACCCTATTATTTTATATGACTAGTGTTTATCAGGTCTGTAATAGTTTAGCACTATTGATGCTTTGAAGTTATTATATATTCCAAGCTTCTAAAAACAGACAGAAGACTTATAACATTGAATCCTGGGTTCGATACCCGTGATGGGCTTAGCACAGATAGCCCATTGTATATCAAAACAAACAAAATAAAAGCTTTAACTGATGTAAAACAACAAAGTACTAATTTTATTCGTACAAAGTGTCAGAAGCCAAGACTTATTCGTGTGTTGTTTTTTTCTGAAAGCATCAGGTCCAACACAAACAGGAGATCCTGCTGGGCCAACCTTCCAATATTCATTTTGTCAGTCCCAATTTTCATTTCTAATATCAGTACTTCTCTTATACCAAACATAAAATATGTCATTCTGTCATATTAAAAAAGTAAAACCACCGCCATTATGCATCTTTTATAAATGTACTTATCTGTGGTCTCAAGACTAGTAATTAATATTAACATCAGAGTAATCTACCAACTTAGATAGAAAATAAAATGCAACCCGGTACTGAGTTTAACTAATTCAATATACTGTTTTTACGTTTTCAGTTTCCGGTATAAATGCTTTTGTTTCCCAAGCATCTTATGCCACCTGACCTATACGATTTTTGTTGCCAAATCTGCAACTTTTCCCATTCTATGTACGAACGTTCAGTGAGATATGTCATTCAAATTCTTGCTTTTTTTTTATCTATAGATGATATATGTATATTTTACGTATTACAATTTATCCCGGACGAGCCTCCAATTTATTACGTCACGTATTATAATTTCGAATAGTCTGAAACTGAGGTAAATGATAATTTACATTTAAAAATTAAATAAATCACGAGATGTATCCAATTTATGATACTTGCCAACAAGACTGATACATAGTTCTTTTAATACAAATATATTTTAATATACAAACAATAACACAATTTACAATAACAGGTATTACAAATAATGATCTATGTACAAAAGTTTTACAAAATTATAAACAATATTTAGCCCTTTATTTGGTCTGGAACTTCCTTGATATCTTATCGAGGGTTCACGATGAGCGAATTAATTTTGAGTAGATGTAGATATAACTCACTTAACAGGGAGCTAGCTATTTCTGTGTTTTTCATTCTTCACTAGTTTGTAAGCCGAAATATTCACCGTTAAAGATAAAAAAATGTTTTCGTAAAAATACTAATGTCCGATGTGAATCCGCTGAAGTTAAATGGTTTGTAATATTCGAAATATTTAAACATTCCCGGTCAAATATCTGAAGTTCTCGATTGATAAGCGTTATAACAATCACAGTTATAGCTTCTGAGGTTTATAGCACACCAACTATAGCAAACCAATAATATATATGTATACTGTCTTTTGGCTCGTCGCGTTGGTTATAGTTATAGGCGTGAGTATAGTTTCTCGAAATTTCAGCTTACACAACAATACAAACGCTACACTAATGTTTACGTAAACACATATATTGTTGATTCTTACACTCGAGAAGTTTCTACAATTTTAGTGAATAGACGGGAATTTCGCAATACAGATTTAATAGTATAATTTATGTACATTTCTAAATATAAATTTAACTTATAGAAACATCGATATTAAAATAGATATATGATAGTAAACCCGTCACATATATGATATAGATATAAAGCAGGCACGATTGTGTAGAGCAACTAAGGAGTTTCAGAAACTCAGCAAATTAGACGAAACCTATCTGACTGAGTATTCTTACCATATTTTCTGGCAAAAAATAAATAAATCTTACGTCAGAGAATTCCACCCTTTCATTGGTAGGCAAGAACAAACAAAAACACATGTAAACTATAATGTGATTAAAGCTATAAATAAGAAGAATTAGGTAACATCGCCGTAAGGCAGAAAAAAATGTGGACAACGTTTTGATCAAGAAAAGTTGAACAAGTCGTGTATTTAATTCATGTTAATAATATTCGTTTATTTAATTCATGTTAATAATATTCATTTATTTAGTTCATGTTAATAATATTCGTTTATTTAATTCATGTTAATAATATTCATTTATTTAATTCATGTTAATAATATTCGTTTATTTAATTCATGTTAATAATATTCATTTATTTAATTCATGTTAATAATATTTTATTGTCACGAATAGATAAACTATTAAAATGTCTGTATGTTAGTAGAGTATGCAGCAGCGAAAACAATACATTAAAAACTCTATCAAGACGAATTATTATTATAATAACATTCGTCTGTAAAAGTACAAGGGCATATGGTGGAAACAGTGAAAAAAACAGGGTAGTTTAGTAATCCTTCAAACGCTTGGAATAACGACCGAATTTTTCTCCACTACCACTTTAATTAACAGTAACTTTATGTCTGCAGGATATAAAAACAACAACACTTATTCTGAAAAACGAGAAGATAACCACATATCCTGACCTATTATCAGAAAATATTCGCAGCTATATATTGATAATTGCCAGAAAGGTGGTTCAAGAATGAAACTGGTTTATAAATATTAATATTTTGTTTAAGATGCGGCCGGATATCAAAACTCATATCTTTCACTTGGCTTGGACCCCAGAAAAAATGGAGGCAGATGTTGTAAGTAATAGTTACACGGTATTATGATTTATAGAAAACTTCCTAATAACACAGGCCTGCGAATTTAAACTTCATAAAAGTTTTTTTGGTTTTAATAATGAATTTTCCATAATTCACCTACGCATATTTCGAAAATAATATGACCAGCATTAATCACCAATTATGCTGATGTTTCACCTTCCATGATAGTTCCTCTCCACGTCCCCCATATCTTGAAAGATTTCCAGACGTTTCATATTGAAACAACCCCTATCATAATTGCTATTGACATCAGATTCAGAATCAGATGAAACTGTATCAAGAGTCTCCGGTGGAGTAAGTACAGGTACATCAAGTTCATGAGCAACAGGTCTTATAGCAGATTGGAGGTTCAGATAAGAAATTTCCTTTTTATTTAGAGTGTTGTAGCCTTACGCGTTACATGAGCAAAAATAGCAGTCGTCTCCGTGGTTTCTAGGCTCATGCTAGATCATTGAAATTCCAAAATGCAAAGAATTTTTCTTACCTTTAGTCTATTGTTTCAACTATTCGACACAAACGGTGCAAACGTTGTGCGAAGCCTATGGTTTGTCTTGGTCCCCAAGTTTTATTACAAAATACAAGTAATACGCTTGTTTGACGAATTCTGTAATATTTTGCCTTTGTTTTTTTACAAAAAATTTACCACAAATACAACAGAATATGTTTGGGTCATTTACACAACCTCTCGTTTCCATAGCGACGAATAAATAATATTGAAAAGAAAAAATAATGTCAAAGTGCATGCACAAACAAATACTTTCCAGAAATGACACGTCATGCGACATGTTAACCGTCTATATACTAGCGGCGTGTTTCTCGTGGGTTCTAGGACGATTGATAAGACTCTCACATCGCGATTGGTCTAAAGAACTCAATAGCCAGTGGTTGTCAACTTTTTAAGCATAACGAAATGTGACCCGATTTCAATAAAAATGATTCACTTTTGTAAAAGTAAAATGCCGTTTTGTGAAAATTCTGTACGTGATGGAGAAAATGGATATCATGTTCGGATTCAGCGTGCGTAAATTACTGTACAAGATGTAATAATTTCAAAACAATAAAACCATCGCAGGCCTGTGTAATTAATCAATGAATAGCGAATTGTGCCTAAAAGTGAAAAAAATATAACGTAATTAAGAATTAAAATATGTAATTCATTCCTCAGGTAAATTGAGTATAATGCTTTAAAGTTTTTATTAACTTCTTCTTGCTCTACACCCGTACTATAAGTTTCTTTTCAAATATTTTTCCTTTAACTTTGTGATTCATTTGAACACAAAACGCTTTAGATTTCAAGGCTCGTGACCAGCTCATATTGTAAGGCAGAAACTGTAATCTATAGAAGTTGTATATTTCGATAATGTGTTATCAAATGATCTAACAGCAAAAAAATAACATGTAAATATCCTACGATAGCACTTCTGTATAAAGAGTCGAAAAATCGCTAATTATTGGTCAGAACAAACATGATGATGAGTTTTTCAGAATAAAGATAAAACTTAAATTTTGCAAAAATAAACCTAAGCTAATTTTTAAATATATTTTAACAAGTGAGATTTTTCATTCTAAAGTGATAAACTGTATAGGTATCAATGTGATATAATTCTAAATTCTCCTTTCAAATAAATATTCTCAATTTTATCTGAAGAAGACTAACATTTTGAATGATTTAACGATATTAATGATTTAACATTTAGGAACAAATTCTCTTTCAACTCCAATGACAAATCACATTACATCTTCAAATATTAACAACTGTTTTCCTGCAAAAAAACATAACTAACGGTTAAGAACGTATAGCTGTGTATTCTGTCAAACATTCCGACTACACATTGTTGATGATAATCTCTCCCAACAGGCTCCACTATTAGATTACTTAGACAGTAATCTGAAGACCCTTTACAACAGTCTGTTTCGCCCTAACTTTGATCGCATTCTGGAATCCATTTGGAGAATGGTGTTACAAGAACTCACCTTTACTGCTAGGAATAACATCGGGGTAAAGTACAAGAGTTCCGAAATGACGTAACGTGTAGTGACGCTTTAAAGTGTGAAAGTTTTAAAGTTCCTCAAAAGTGGTAAAATTAAGTTCGTGAGAAGTTACTTACTTAAATATTGCAAACTTCAAACCGAATACACTAAAGAAGTTAAATACGTTATATTAAAATAATTTTGAAACCTCAACACATTGTTATATTCCTTGTCGCCACGTCCAGTTGTACTCCATCTGACAGTCGTGCATTTTAAGAATAGTTCTGCAGCGTAGTTTCCATTGCATATGGCTTTGTTGTAAGGTTTTCATGTCCAAAGTACACCACTACTCTCGACTTGCTTTCCCTAAGCCATCTAGTGTAAACAAACGACGATTTTTCAGCGCCTGTTTAACAATCAAATCGCACAGAAACCCAAGTAGACTTCACTCAGTATGTCTTCGAATGGAATAGCATGAATGGTAATACCTTTTCATTTTCCAACTATTTAAGGTTGACCAGATATGTCATGGAAGCACATGTATACACGTAACATGTTTCGTTTTTTTACGCAGAGATCCTTCTTTATTATGTTGCATATTTTTTGTTCATGGATTCTCATCTGTTACACGACGCCGCACTTTGCTTACCACGACTGTGGTGCAACTTGTATCAGGTCTCTTTCTGGATGGTTGTGTTGCCCAAGTTGATCCATATTCCTTTGTTTTACAATGCCATTAAGTGCAAGGGATGTCACCATCTTAAAATTCTAAACCCCTTATTTCAGCACATCTTTATGATCTGAATGTATGAATATTTTGCGTCGGAAAGGACGGTTACGTGTCCTTCTCAAAAGCAATCACTTTTCGATGGCATCACACAACTTACATAATGTCAAATAATGTTAACATTTACTTCTGATACTTACAGTTCTAGTGCGACTCTGTATCGGTGGTTATTGTCACATGACTTACTGAATTACAAGTTCAAAATATTTTTAATATAACGTACTCAACTCTCTGTATGACCGCCTTTTTAAAATTTATATATCTACAACGTTAAATGTTGATTTTATAATGCATCTAGTTTAATGTCTAGCAATAAATCTGAACGTTTGGTTGGTACATTTGTTTTTAATTGCTCAGATTGAATAAAAGCTCTGGTAAACTACTTAAACTTAATTCATAACATCTGGCTCACAATGCATATATGCATGCTTACATATCTTTGTTTAAATAATATAAACACTAAGTATTTTACTCAAACTATGTGCAAGCTGCTAAACGAGCGTGATTGCATATTAAGTAGAGAAATATTCCATCTACAAAGTTACACAAAGAACTCATCATCAGAAACCTGAGATATTTCATTACATGCCTTCATCGAACAATAATCACGTGCGCTTAGTTTAATGTCATTGTTTTGTCAAGTTTGTTAAGAATTGATTAAAATCACGAAATACTATACGTCTGCCAGATTACAATGTTTCTGTTTATTTCTGTCCTAAAATAAGGATTTTAGTGACTTATTCGATCACAATATAGAACTATAATAAGTTTAATACTATCAGATGTATAAAAATGGCATATACATATATATGAAGGTGATTATTATTACTACTTCAGCTTACGATCTTAAACTCTGATTTTTGATAAACGTTTTGTCCCTCTGTGGGACAACAGTAAGTCTACGGACTTACAATCCTACAATCCGGAGTTCAATTCCCCGCGGTGGACACAACAGATAGCCAAATGTGGCTTTGCTCTAAAAACAAACTAACTAATTATGCGTTTCAACTGCGTTAATGTCCTGTTAAAGTTGTATTAAGAAATTTATTTGAACTATCACCACGTTTTTTTTTAGTTTTTTTAATTACACAAGCTTTCGGCTCAATTACC